GAGTTATTTAGTTCACAGATAACGAAGTTGAAGCTGAGTGAGCTTAAGTAACAGACCCAGTGTATATGCCTCATTCTAACAACCCTTTCCCTGTCCCCCCTTGAAGGTCCATGCTGTCATTTGTTCTGTAACCTATGAACTCTGTAAAGGTGGTTTGCTTAGCTCTCTGACCAGTGCTTACTGATAAGGAGCAAATTGGAATCTAAATGTGTATTTGTACTTCAAGATTTGCTCAGAGTCTTGTGAAACGTTCTTGAGTACTTGTATCAAAAAGATGTTAGTCTAAGGTTAGAACAGGCATTTCCTGAAAATATTGAAGTGTAAGAATAGTTTGAATGACAAAAATGAACTCAGTATCCATGCTTCTCATTTGACGCCTAGTGGAAAACCACTCAGAGCTTCACATCTAGGCCCATATTGGTTAATGCAGTTGATGATTCCAGAAACGAACAGTAATAGAAGCTGATAGAAAAGGACTGGTGGATAAACGTCATTTCCAAATTGTGTTGAGTCTCGCCCTAAGGCATGCTATGAAATACAGATAGTTGTCTAAGGGGATGGCTGGGAAACTGTCCACATTCAAGGGCAAGCAAGGAGCTTATATCTTACCCTTTAAATTCCTATTTACTTGCTCCTCCATCATTTCTCAGGCAGAAATACACAGAAACTGGGGGCTTGATTGTTACATTTCAGAACCCATGACCATGAGGAACATAACTCCAAGTCTAACCACTAAAGCTTTACTCTTCAATAACTACTGTCAGCCTTGGTCAAAGATGGCAGGTTTGATTGTAATCCAGACGTTTTGTGTTCTCGCATCGATGTATGTTGATGTTAAATCACACTGATTTGCCATTAGTCCCATCTCTAATGACTGTGAGCCTAGATGCTTTGGGTGTGGCCATGTGTACTTACTCCGTCCGCATCCTTCCAGTTGACAGTTTACCACGTACTTCTACCCAAAGTACCAAGACTCAAGGGAGTGTTGGAAAACAGGCTTGGTTTCATAAAGCTACAAATAGTCATCAAGAATCTTAATACTGCCTCTTGGGAATACTTTTGGCACCATTCTAAGAAATCAGTGCTAAGGACTGAGGAGTATTCCACTGTAAGAAAGGGATTGTTCTTGTTGTAACTAAAAAATTGTACCAAGTAGCTTTTTCTGCAAAATTACATGTGATCCATTCTATTAAGGGTGACTCTTTAGGACCAGGTCATTCTGCCCTAGAAAAGAGCAATGTCATAAAATAGGACCCTCGCAGATTCCCACCCAACTAGATGTCAGTTCAGGTATAGGGAACTCAGTTTATATTAGAAAAAAACAAGCCTTGTGAATTAATAGTTTATAAAGAGTTGTTTCTGTGTTTTCCTTAAAATAGTCTTGATCTGTGGCCTCTGAGTCACTAGCCTCTTGTATGAAAACCAAAAAAACCAAACTCACCGCCATCAAGTCGGATCCTACTCATAGCGACCCCTCCTTGGGTTTCCGAGGCGGTATCTCTACAGAAGTAGATTGCCCACCCTTCCTTCCGAGGAGTGGCTGGTGGGTTTGAGCCCCAGCCTTCTGGTTAGCAGTCACAAGCCTTAGGCACTATGCCACCAGAGAGCTTTCTCATATGAAGTCAGTTAAAGTTTTCAAACATAAAGCCATCTTTTAAAATAGACTTTTCTATGTACTACCAAAAACAAGTGCCCACTAGCTTCAGTTGATGCCACATATGATTTTGAAGTATGGTATACAATTAGCTAGGATTTTCACGAGCCGTCCAAGCCTTAAACAGAGAATAAGTATCAGCAACCTGGCCCTTTCAACAGATGCCATACTCAGGCCACAGACCCTGCTGTTCCTCAGTGACCTCTCAGCAGCGACCTCATTAGAGAATCTCCCATTTGGGTTGGTGCTTCTTGGGTATATTGTGCTCAGTTTCTTCAACATCAGCAGCTCCTATAGGGTAGGAGATTTGGAGGCTCAGAGGGTGCAATAAAAGTTAACATGTTACTGTTTTTCAGCTGTTTGTATGTGTTTTCGTAAGTTGAATGTGTTAAACTATGAGTCTTATCACCTAGGCCGTCGTCTCAGGTGAGTAACCTGTTCAGTAATGGCGGTGCACAGTGGACCTCCTCTCACACAGGAAGTACACAGGCTGCATCAGGTAGTCTTGTCTCACATCTCTGCAGCAACACAGAGAAAGGTGAATGGCAGAGAGAAAATCTAAGGTTTGTAATATCTACCTTCACACTTGGCCTCTAGATCTAACATTTCTTAAGTGTATGTTAGTAAGGTTTCTGATTTCTGAAACAGATTCATGATTACTGAAAATGAAGTTAGGTTCTGGAGCATGTAGAAATACGTTGGTGGTGGTGGTAGGTGTTTTGGTTCTCCTGTGCTGCTCTAACAGAAATAACACAAATGGGTGACTAACAGACAGGGTGGGTTATTCTCTTACAGTTTAGGAGGCTAGAACTTTGAGTTCATAATGCCAGCCCTAGCGGCTAGGTGCAAGCCCCTTGACCTTGGGCTTTAGCTCTGCCTCTTGATCCTGGCCCACTGAAGCTGGAGGCTTCTCTTAACTCAGGCAGCTGCTGCCTGCTGAGGCTGACAAGCCCAAGGTTGATGAGTAAAATGGCACAGTCCCAAAATTATCAGGCAATACTGTAGGCCACTAGTTCAAGTCCATTAATGGTCTCAAGATTGGCAGACATCATGGCAGGCCATTGAGATGAAAACTCGACCAAATGTAGGATCCAAATGTGCTAAAAGCTCAAGCCCTTCCTTAAAGCGTCTTCTTATAATAAGCCAAAGCAGACCACATTCTTAAGGCAGCTACTCAGCTGCTCAAAGCAGATTCCACCATGCAGTTGATGACCAGTCTCATCATGGGGAATCACTACATCCAGCTGCCTAGCCACTCAAACAAGGTTCAGCCAACTTGTCATATAACTTTAACTACCACAGGTGCCGTCAAGTTGGTTCCAGCTCATGGCAGTCCTGTATGCAGCAGAACAAAACACCCCCAGCCCTGCTGCACCATGCTCACAGTCCCTGCTGTGCTTGAGCCCATCATTGTAGCCACCGTGGCAGCCATCTCATTGAGGGCCTTCCCCTTTTTGGCTGACCCCCTACTAAACACGATACCCTTCTCCAGGGGCTGAGCCCCTCTGACAGCGTGACCAAAGTAGGTGAGGCAAAGTCTGGTCATTTTCATTTCTAAGTTTCTTCTTTCAGGACATATTTGTTTGTTCTTCTGGCAGTCCATGATATTTTCAGTATTCTTCAGTATTTCCAGCAGCACAATCCAAAGGCGTCAACTCTTCTTCCGTCTTCCTTATTCACTGTCCAGCTTTCACATGTATGTGAGGCGATTGAAAATACCATGGTTTGGGTCAGGTGCACCTTAGTCTTCAAAGTGACATCTTTGCTTCTTAACACTTTAAAGAGATCTTTTGCAGCATATTTTTCGAATGCAGTATGACATCTGAATTCCTGACTGCTGCTTCCATGGGTATTGAGTGTGGATCCAAATAAAATTAAATCCCTCACAACTTCAGTCTTTTCTCCATTTATTGTGATGTTGCTGACCTGTCCAGTTGTGAGGATTTTTGTTTTCTTTATATTGAAGTGTAATACTGAAGGCTGTAGTCTTTGATCTTCATGAGTAAGTGCTTTTAGTCATCTTCACTTTCAGCAAGCATCTATCTGCATGTCACTAGTTGTTAATTATTCTTGCTCCAATCCTGATTCCACATTCTTCTTCATATAGTCCAGCTTCTCATATTACTTGCTCAGCATACAGATTGAATAATCATACAATATCCCCTTGTTCTGTTCTAATGACAGCCTCAGATTTTAAATCATGCAATATCCCCTTGTTCTGTTCTAATGACAACCTCTTGGTCTATGTGTAGGTTGTTGATGAGCATAATTAAGTGTTCTGAAATTCCCATTTTTTCCCAGTGTTATCCATAATTGGTTATGATCCACACAGTCAAATGCCTTTGCAGTAAAACCCAGGTAAACATATTTCTAGTATTGCTTTCAGCCAAGGTCCATCTGACATCAACAGTGATATCCCTCATTCCATATCCTCTTCTGAATCCAGCTTGAATTTCTGGCGGTTCCCTGTCAATATATATACTGCTGCAACCATTTTTTAATTATCTTCAAAATTTTACTTGCATATGTTATTAATGGCGTTGCTCTGATAGTGTAGTGTCTAAGGCACTTGACTGCTCACCAGAAGGCTGGTGGTTCAAACCCACCAGCCACTCTTCAGAAGGAAGGTTGGGCAATCTACTTCTGTAGTGATAGCACCTTGGAAACCCAAAGAGAGGTCACTGTGAGTTGGGTCCGACTCAATGGCACACAACAACAACAACATATTATTAATAGGAGCTCTGGTGGTGCAGTGCCTAAGGTGTTTGACTGCTAACCAAGAAGGCTGGCAGTTCAATTCCACCAGCCACTCCTCGGAAGGAAGATTGGGGAATCTACTTCTGTAGAGATACCACCTTGGAAATCCAAGGTTCACTATAAATTGCAACCAACTCAACAGCAGTGAGTTTGGTTTTTTTGTTTATGTTATTAATGATACTGTTATAGTGACATTGTGATAGTGATATAAATGATATTGTTCAGATGAGGGATGGGTATAATTATGTAGCCTTAGACAATTATTTAAATAGATAAAACAATTGAGTTTGTTCCTTGAAAATTAGGGCGTTTGTAACTAGATCTTTCTCTTTAAAATCAAAGCTATGGGCACATATTTTAAAGTAAAATTGCTTTCATGCCAAAGAGGAAGGTATTTCTTCTGGGAGAAAGCCAGATATAGGGAATGCTAAGTGTGACTTGGAGTCATATTAGGTGTTAGTTACTTTGAAGTGGAGCCTAAGCCCTCCGTGGAAACAGCAGGCTCTTGCTGGGTAGAGTGTTAAGTCAGCCTGAAAATAGCTTGGCACTTGTTGACCCAACTCTGATCATTTTCCTTCTTTCTTTCAAGGTGTCTGAGCGTTTGAGTCAACCAGGAGTGGCAATAGGTTTGGCGTGGACTCCCTTAGGTGGGGAAATCATGTTTGTGGAGGCAAGCCGGATGGATGGCGAAGGTCAGTTAACTCTGACTGGCCAGCTTGGGGATGTCATGAAGGAGTCTGCCCATCTCGCTATTAGTTGGCTCCGCAGCAATGCAAAGAAATATCATCTGACTAATGGTACGTGACCGCCGGGATACAGATAGGAGGGAAGAGCCTTGGGTCATGATCCAGGATGCAATTCACAAAATTTGTGACAAAGACTAAGGTGAACTTTAAACTGTCAGTTATACCATTCAGTAAAATACACACCTTTAATTTCTTGAACCCTGGTAGACATTCTTTTTACCATTTGAGGGCGATTTGGCTAGTGCCTGAATTACAGACAGATTTGAGAGGGTTTTGTTCTTAGTCCTACCTGGAATAAAGTGAAACTAATTATTCTTCCAGACCCTGACTGTAATTGTACTATCAATTAATATTTTGAAGGATTCATTTACTCAGAATGCTCATTTTTATCTCTTTGATTTTCTTCTTAGAAGTAAAAGAAAGTAGATTTACTTTTTCTACATTAAAACCCTCTTTGCCTTTTTAAAGCTTCTGGAAGTTTTGATCTTCTTGACAACACAGACATCCATCTGCACTTCCCAGCTGGAGCTGTCACAAAAGATGGACCATCTGCCGGAGTTACCATAGTAACCTGTCTCGCCTCACTTTTTAGTGGGCGGCTGGTACGTTCAGATGTAGCCATGACTGGAGAAATTACACTGAGAGGTCTTGTTCTTCCAGTAAGTATGAAGGACCCTATTTAGGCTTTTTTTTTTTTTTTTTAATTTAAGTTAATACTTTCCTCTATGAATACCTTGGTTTTAAACATAGGTTGAATTTGTCTACCTGTACTAATTCACATTTTAAATTTTTAATAAGTGAAAGAAAGACTAACAGTTCTTCCTGTGTTTTTCCCTTCTCCTAAAAAAACTTGCTAAGGGAAAAAAAATACTGTTAGTCTCATCACCAGAAGTATCAGCTATTCAGATGAGGATGCAGGGCCTTGCTAGTTACCAAATCACTGAGGAGTGTGGAGCACCTGTGTAGGCAAAGCAGAAGCTGTTTTAAAACTAGAAGCCCAATGCTTACCTTGTTAAGTTTCTTTGTAACCTATCCTCCTGAGTCAAAGTAAAATCTAGATTAGTTCATAGATTTATAGAAAAACAACTAGTATGGGAACTAATAAAGACTGACCATGCTGACGTGCTGCATTGTGAAAACGTTCTGTTCATGGGGTCCTTGGGGCTACAGCACATACCCTAAACCACCTACAAAAACATTGTGAGAAAATGGATGGAACCTGAGAATGGATTTAGAGATTTAAGTCACTAGTTACCGATTCCAGTCTACAACAATTTTGTCAAGTTCTTGGCAAAATGAGAAAAATAAGGAATGTTCTTCAGTCAGAGGAAGTCCTTTTATGAAGTAACAGTGAAAGTAGATCATAGAATTGTGAATTAAAATCCTTAAAAATGCTCTCAGTTCCCCAATATTTAATTCAGCCCTGAAGTCAGAGAGTCATATTCTAAACTCTTAAGCTCTCTACCCCAAAGGCATGGCTGGCTGATCTCTTTACTCTCCCTGACCCCAGGAGCTGTTACATTTCAGATGACAATACTGACAGTACTTGGTGTACTACTGAAGGAGCTGAGCAGGTGCTTTATTGACCATAAAGTCTTACTTCAGTTTCCTACTTCAAGATGGTAGACTGATACGACTATGAGATCAGAAGAACTAGATGGTACCCAGCTACTACTGTCAACCACTCAGAGGGGAATCTATGTAGGAGATCCTGGAGAGAGAGAGAGAGAACTATGTGGAACAAAACTCAGAATCGTTTGGGGGGGGAAGAAAAATGGGGGAGACCAGGTTTGCTGGTCTGATAGAGCCTGGGTGGAACCACTGAGACTGTGGCCCCTAGCTGCCCTTCAGGTCTGGAATTGAACCTACACCTGTGGCTTCCAGCCAAACAGAAGACAGGCATATGAGTAGATACACTCCTTGGAGAGAACAATCATGGGAGAAAGAAGGGCTGTGTATGCACAGGGAGACAGCTGAGGGGGCAGGAGTGCAAGGAGGGATGGACACAGGGAAGAGGTAACTATCAGGAGGAAGTGGGAGGGGAGCTGTTGCATTGGGGTAAATTGTAGTCCATGTCATGAGACAAAGTGTTTGTGAACTGCTGTATGGAAAGTGAATTTGCTCTGTAAATTTTCACCCAAATCACAATTAAAAAAAGATGGTAGACTAAGCAAGGAATAAAAGCGAGTAAATGCCAACACTGTCAAAATAAGTGGGCTCTTCAGCTGACAGTTTAACAAAGTTCTGGAAGGTGGAGGGGTTCTGGTCGATGTGGCAGAATTTGAGGTAGAGACGGTTTTCCCAGCAGAATGTGGGGAACTGATTGGCTCAGAGCCAAAAGGTACAGGTTAAGGAATGAGGTGTGAAACTGGAACATCTAGGCTTTCACATGGCATTTATGTTAATGGTGGTGGAATAAGAAACAGACAGTGATGGAGGTTGCACAACTTGAAGAGCGTAGTCAGTGTCATTGAATTGTGCATGTAAAACTTGGAGGTGGCTGGTGTTCTGTTGTGTATATTTATACTACAATTTGGAAAAAAAATTAGAGGAGACACTGGAAATCTGTGAAGAATGAAGGCGCCTTCCACTTAGTCCTCTGCTGTCAGAGCAAATAACTCTGCAAAGGCTCTCCCATCTCCAGCCACATCCCCTTTGAGTGAATCTCTAGTTTTAAACTAGCATCAGAGACATGAAGAAAAACAATGGCATTTCAGAGAAAGACCTGCTAATCCTGGGGAAAACATAGTTAAAGAACTATGCAACACTAAAGAAGAATGGAGAATCTGCAAACAACACATAACGTGGATGAACTTAGAGGACGTTATACTGAGTGAAATAAGTCCATCCATATTAGTTCATTATTGTAAAAAGTCAAGGAAAGGTTTATGTATGGAAGGAAACATTCTTTGTTGGTTACCAGGGGTGGGAGGAGAGGGGAAAGAACACTGCAAAAATAATTCAAAAAATAATAATAATAATTAAAGAGTAGAGAATAAGGCAAAGCCCAGGTTTAAAACTGATTGTAGAAATGGTTGAAGACCTATTAATTAAAAAAAAAAAAACAAGTAATAGAACAGTCTGGCAAATCCAACATCTAATTAATGGGAGTTCTAGCAAACAGAAAATGAAACAGAACAAACTGTCAGAGAAATAATGAAACATTTCCTAGACTATAAGGTGTCTTCAGATTGAAAAGACCTGTACTGGCAAAGAAAGACTTCATTCATCCTCATGAGTTTCCGGATCACCAAGAATAAAGTGCTTCGTCAGGGACACTGGATGAGAATTCTGTACCTTGAAAACACTGGAGGAAAGTGATTTTTAAATCTAATCACGGGTGTACAGCTTTACTATCAAGTGTGAAAGCAAAATAGGCATTGTCGTACATGCGAGGGATCCTTTCATCCTGCACTTTCTGAAGAAAGGAACTTTGAAGATGTGCAGGGTGGGGCACAGGGAGACGACCTTGAACAGTGTGGGTTAGGATGGCGGCTGTGGGGTGAGGTAGAAATAGTAGCTAATCCAACTTGGACGTGGTGGTTACGGGGCTCTGGGAGGGAATACAGGTGCCAGGTGGTCCGATTGAGAGCTGTGTCTGTTGTCTGTTGCTGCTTAACACATTGCCCCAAAACAGTTGTGACTATTTATTACCCTCACAGTTTCTGTGGCTCGTCAGCTTAGTTGGTGCTTCTGGCTCCTGTTTTCTCCTCTTCAAGTCAAGATGCAGCCAGGCCTCAGTCATCTGAAGGGTGACTAGAGCTGGAGGATCTGCAGCCCAGGTGCTTCACTCATTTGACCGGCAACTTGGTGCTGATGTTGGCACAGGGCCCCAGATTCTCATCTCATGGGTTCTCCGCAGGCTACTTACGGGACCTCAAACATGGCAGCTAGCTTCCTTGGGAAAGTGATCCCAGAGAGGGCAATCCACTCAGAAACTCAGTTTTTATAACCTTTGTTGTGTTGTTAGGTGCCATTGAGTCGTCTCCGACTCACAGTGACCCCATGCACAGCAGAATGAAACGCCGCCCAGTCCTGCGCCAGCTCCGCGATCCTTGCTGTACTTGAGCCCATCACCGCAGCCACTGTGTCAGTCCATCTCTTTGAGGGCCTTCCCCTCTTTCAACAACCCTCCACCCTACCAAGCATGACATCCTTCTCCAGGGAATGGTCCTTTCTGACAACATGACCTACTGTAGGTGAGACAAAGTCTGGCCATTCTCGCTTCCAAGGAGCATTCTGGCTGCACTTCCTCCAGGACATATTTGTTAGTTCTTTTAGCAGTCCATGGTACTTTCAGCATTCTTCACCAACACCATGACTCAAAAGCATCAACTCTTCTTTGGTCTTCCTTATTCTTTGTCCAGCTCTCACATGCATATGAGACGATTGAAAATACCATGGCTTGTGTCAGTTGCACCTTAGTCCTCCAGGAGACATCTTTGCTCTTCAGCACTTGAAAGAGGTCCTTTGCAGGCAATTTGCCCAGTGCTGTATGTCATCTGATGTCTTGACTGCTGCTTCCATTGGTGTCGATTGTAGAAGCAAGCAATGTGAAGTCTTTGACAACTTCAGTCTTTTCTCCATTTATCGTGATGCTGCAGATAGGTCCAGTTTTGAGGATTTTTGCTTTCTTTATCTTGAGATATAATCCATATTGCAGACTGTAGTCTTCAGTCTTCATCAGTAAATGCTTCAAGTCATCCTCACTTTCAGCAAGCAAAGTTGTATCATCCACGTATCTCAGGTTGTTAATGATTCTTCCTCCAATCCTGAGGCCACGTTCTTCATATAGTCCAGCTTCTCAGATTATTTGCTCGGCATACAGATTGAATAAGTATGGTGAAAGGATACAACCCTGATACAATCCCTTCTTGCTTTTAAACCATGCAGTGTCCCCTTGTTCTGTCTGAATGACAGCCTCCTGATCTATGTACAGATTCCTCATGAGTACAATCAAGTGTTCTGGAATTCCCATTCTTTTCAGTGTTATCCACAATTTGTTATGATCCACACAACCAAATGCTCTTGCGTAGTCAATAAAACACAGTAAACATCTTTCTGGTATTCTTTGCTTTGAGCAAAGACCCATCTGACATTAGCTATGATATCCCTCATTCCACATCCACTTCTGAATCCAGCTTGCATTTCTGGAAGTTCTCTGTCTATATACTGCTGCAACCACTTTTGAATTACCTTCAATAAAATTTTACTTGCATGTGATATTAATGATACTTTTCAATAATTTCCACATTCTGGGGGATCATCTTTCTTTTGAATGGGTACAAATATGGATCTCTTCCAGTCAGTTAGCCAGGTAGCTGTCTTCCAAATTTCTTGGCATAACGGAGTGAGTGCCTCCAGCAGGTCATCCATTTGTTGAAACATCTCAATGGGTATTCCATCAATTCCTGGAGCCTTGTTTTTCGTCAGTTCTTTCATTGCAGCTTTGACTTCTTCCTTCATTACCATTGGTTCTTGATCATGTGCCACTTCCTGAAATGGATGAAGATCGATCAGTTCTTTTTGGTACAGTGACTCTGTGTATTCCTTCCATCTTCTCTTGATGTTTCCTGCATCATTCAGTATGTTGCCCATAGAATCGTTCAGTATTGCAACTCAAGGCTTCAATTTTTTCCTCAGCTCTTTCAGCTTGAGAAATGCTGAG